GCGATGGTTTCAGCATTTGCGATGAATGGTCGCTGACGTCCTTGGGCTTCCCGTGGAGTGAGTTTTTTCCGCAAATGAGTGTAGTGTGATTTGATCAATATTTCTCTTATATCTTATATCTTCCATCATAGTAGTTGGGTTAAAAGAAGCGTTGCTAAAAAAAAATGTATAATTATCTAATGAAGGAGGTATAGGAAATATTAGCTCTTTGGTTATCTTTTCCAGTCCCCCAACAAGAGATTTTGAAGCAGTTTATATTTGTTATTGAATTAAGAGTTGAATTAATAAGGTTTAATTTAATAAGGTGTTAGGTAGACAAATCTTTCCCATGAATGTAAGCCATTGGAATATACTTAAAGGATGTGTGTTTGCTAAGTTGCTTTCTGGCCATGACTATTTTGCGCTAAAATGAGAAGAAAATGTTATAGTATGATAAAAAGGATACATAGTGTGATAACTGTCGTAACTAATTTTAAATGTCTTACACATTCGTAAAATGTATATACATGACACATACACACACACTCATTCACACACACGTGTACACACATAAACACAAATTTATACATACGTGCACACAGGCACATACACATATATATATATATATATATATATATATATATATGTATATATATATACATAGTGTGTGTGTTTTGTTTGCGTATACGGCGTGGCGATGGTTTCAGCATTTGCGATGAATGGTCGCTGACGTCCTTGGGCTTCCCGTGGAGTGAGTTTTTTTCCGCAAATGAGTGTAGTGTGATTTGATCAATATTTCTCTTATATCTTATATCTTCCATCATATTAGTTGGGTTAAAAGAAGCGTTGCTAAAAAAATGTATAATTATCTAATGAAGGAGGTTTAGGAAATATTAGGTCTCTGGTTATCTTCTCCAGTCCCCCAACAAGATATTTTGAAGCAGTTTATATTTGTTATTGAATTAAGAGTTGAATTAATAAGGTTTAATTTGATAAGGTGTTAGGTAGACAAGTCTTTCCCATGAATGTAAGCCATTGGAATATACTTAAAGGATGTGTGTTTGCTAAGTTGCTTTCTGGCCATGACTATTTTGCGCTAAAATGAGAAGAAAATGTTATAGTATGATAAAAAGGATACATAGTGTGATAACTGTCGTAACTAATTTTAAATGTCTTACACATTCGTAAAATGTATATACATGACACATACACACACTCATTCACACACACGTGTACACACATAAACACAAATTTATACATACGTACACACAGGCACATACACATACATATATATGTATATATAAATGTATGCAAATAGATATGAGTACTATATAAGTGTGTGTGTGTATGCATGTGTGTGTGCGTGTGTACACATTTACACACACATACACATACATATGAATATGTGTGTGTCAGTAATACAGAAAATAGAATTTAGAATAACAAGGAGAAATGCGAGGAAATATCCAACAAGTGAAACTATACTATGTAATTAGGGAGTTTCTAAATAAGGTCCTAAAATTCGGAACCAGGGACAGGACGATGGTAAAGGTCATGTGAATGTGCTTGAACTAGAAGTAGCGGGAAAAGACCAGTTTTAACTGAGTAGATTGCATCAGTTTGACGAGATAAGGTCATTTTATCTACCGTCACTGCCAGTGAATTTACATAATGTTAGTTGTTTTTTATCAATGGTGTCATGTGCCTGGTAGGTAACGGCACTTGTTATAAGGTATCCTAGTAGTATATACTGTACATAGACACGCATATTTGTATACATATACACACACACCTACTCATTCATTGATCAACTTACTCAAGTATACACATACTCTCTCTCTCTCTCTCTCTCTCTCTCTCTCTCTCTCTCTCTCTCTCTCTCTCTCTCTCTCTTACATGCACGCCCACATGAAATTATAGTTGTGTTAAACTGTGTGCATCATATGAAACGAGGCATAATGATAACCTTAAAACAACGGAGATGAAAGCACCAACCAACCTATAATTCCTATCTCGAAGGTCTTCCGTTTCACAGGTGCCTAGGGCAATTGTAAAACTTCCTGATATGTATTTGTCCGCCCGCACATAAGTGTGTGTGCGTACATATATAAATTTATACATATATATACATACTCCCATATACACACATGTGTGTGTGTGTGTGTGTACATACGCTACTACGTATTATATATGCATATATGTGCATGTATGTATGTATGCGTGCATGTATGTATGTATGCGTGCATGTATGTATGTATGCGTGCATGTATGTATGTATGCGTGCATGAATGTGTATGCATGTATGAATGTGTATATATATACCGCTCTGAAGTGAGGCGATGTGCGTGTATGTACTTGCTTGAGATCATCCATAAACTAATGCAGGTGAAGGCCGCACGGGCGGGGTTGCAGTCCGACCTTTTGCTTGTCAACAAGGTCGTCCTAAAGCATATAAGATCAGTTGACTTCACCAAAGACTACAGGCTCATCAATATGTAGTTTGTTAGTATTTTGGTGAAATATGTTTATTTACACTATGTTAAACATCCATAAATTACAGCTTATATACATAAATAAATGAATGAATAAATCAATAAATATTTAGATAAATATATATATACATATATAGATATATATGTACTCGTGTACGCGTGTATACAGTTACGAGAAAGGTAATTTACATTTTCATTTTATTCAGCACTAGCTGATCATTGCTTGTGAAGCCGCCGTTGCCGCAGCCGCCCCTCAGTACAGCTACGATGATTGATTGGTTAATAATAAGCTGTGTCACGTGATGCGTCCACTGAGGAGTACGATTTCGTGTCGATCAGCAAGGACGACCGCGTCCACGAGGAAGATGGAACTTACAACTTCGATTTCGAAGCTGCCAATGGCATCAGCTTCTCTCAGGCTGGATCCTCCGGCGGTGATGACGACGCTGTGATCAAGGCTGGAGAATATTCGTAAGTAGTAGCAAGGACGATGCTTGTATTCATCATTTCAATTATTTTGGCTTTGTTATATCTATTGTATTCTTTCTGTAAGTCCTTATTGGTATGTTACAGGCACACTGTTCTTGACGGCACTGAAATCCACCTTACCTTCGTGGCTGACGGGAACGTCTTTGAGCTTCAGGGTGACCATCTCCCAGCGGCTCCCGAGTTCCCCCACCAGATTCCTGGCTTCGTCCTCGAGCAGTTCGCCTTCTCCGTCGAAGAGAACTGCAACCGAGCCCGCAGCGACGACTCCGATGAAGTTTCCGTCCCATTTAGCCTTTACGGACGTCCCAATTAAATTATGATCTCGACCGTGTATTATTTAAAGTCAGAGTAGAATTCTCAAACTGATCTCTTGTGTTATCTGACCTTTCATCAACAATGATTTGACTTGAAAACGTGGTGGAAAGATACGAAGATAAAAATCCTTAAAAAAAGTGACACTCATGCGACATGCCATTTGGCGTGAACAATATTAGTCTAACCTTCCACTTGTTAAATATCGAAATTAATCAACACAATTCAATCTAATTACTATTTGATCACTGTTTTAATTCTAAAAATGTGAAAACAGTTGTAGTGGCCGCTACCCCAGATACGATCAGGTTTAGAGCCCTGGCATTGACACAAACTATTTCAGTTACTTTGCATTCCTACTATAGACAGATCTAAAAAAAAAGTGTCCTCTGTGTAACAAAGCACGTGAAATATTCGTTCAATTTAGCACTTATCACATCTGTTCTTACTCTTCTTACTAGGAATTCACTTGAAATGAGTTTAGTTATCCATTTGTTTTAATGTTAGCAACTTCTGATCAGACTCTGACCTAAATCCAGACTAGATTTGTTTGCTATATATGCATTATTTATGTATGTATATACATATTACAGAGTGAGAAGTAAAAGCTTCTGTGTGGATGTAATAAGTACCATATCTTCAAAATGGAGAGCATGTTATTATTTTGATTTATTTCAATATTAATCTGAGGTTACTCGTTTGTTTTATTTCAATAATAATCTGAGACTTTTCAGTTTGTTGAGGATCTTCAATTTAGTATCATTTTGAGTAGCTTGAAACCTATCTTCATTAGACTGATGTTATAATGTGCGTATATAATAAATGCATACGCGCGTGTCTGTATGTAGGGAGTATATGTGTGCATACATACTCGTAATGAAACGAACTCGTAATGAAACTTTACCCTTAACAAATGGAAGTAAATATTAGGCTTTTATCCTTATTACTTTTAGTAGTAGTAGTAGTATTTTCAGTATCACAATTATTATAATCATTACTATTATCATTATTACTCTTATTATTGTTATTACCCTTATCATCATTCTTATTAGTATTATCACCACCTCCATTATCATCATTATTATCACCACCTCCATCATCATCGTCACTACCACCTCCACCATTATTATCGTTATTATTATCATTATCATTATTATTATCATTATTATTATCCTTATTATCATTATTATCAATATAATCATTTCTATTATAAACATCATCGTCATCATCATCATCATCGTCATCATCATCATCACTGCAATCACCATCGACCTTTGCAAACGTGTGCAATATAATAATATCATTACGCCCATATTATTTCCGAAACGTCGGTTTACTGTCTAAATGATTATTCACAATTATACGGTATCACCTTTACTGCTTGAAATACCCAATACGAGAAAAATACGGTTAGAAGAATCGTGATAAGATGATGTAAAGGAACATTATGTGCAAAAGGAAAATATATATTCACGTACAATAAATAAGGGAAAACAAAATCAAATTCTATAGAAAAAAATACGAAACCCATCGCATTCACGAAGGGAAAATAAAAGAATGAAAGGACTATTCGAAGAGGAAAGTATTCATTGAAGGTGAAGGTTTCCGTCTGTGGGTGTGGATATTTTTTCTGCCTTGTCCGTTGCAAGGCCGTTTTCTGTTCTATATAAGACTGTCTGCCTTCGTCTCAAACACCAGTAACCACTGAGCCATCATCATGAAGTTCGTAAGTAACCTATGGTGGAGCAAGGCCCAAAACGATCTTTTAATCATATTGTATTATTATATTTGTAAAGTAACCGTAGTTACTATATATTTACTTTGACTTCGGAAGGGAAATAAAAAGATCGTTTTTATTGTATTTTTTTCATAAAATGTAGTCAGTTCATCTGTTCCCATACATGCAAGTATACAATTGTATGTATATGTGTCTGCGTGCGCCTGCGTGTGCTTGTGTTAAGCATGTGTATATGTGTGTAGAGGTTTATATGCATATATATAAAAATGTACGTACGCACACATATATATCTAACATTTATATTTTACTGTATCCTAGCTGATCCTCGCCTGCGTCGCCGCTGTGGCAGTTGCCGCCCCTCAGTACAGCTACGATGGTCCACGTGCTGTGTCCAGTGAGGAGCGCGAGTTCGTACCAATCCTTAAGGATGACCGCGTCCACGAGGAAGATGGAACTTACAACTTCGACTTCGAAGCTGCCAACGGCATCAGCTTCTCTCAGGCTGGATCCCCCGACGGTGATGAGGACGCTGTGATCAAGGCTGGAGAATACTCGTGAGTATTTTGGAAATTTCCGTCCCCTATGTCAATCAGTCTAGCTTCACAGATATCTTAATGTTGCATTTCTTTAGTCTACACATTAAAGTAACAACTAAAATATTACAGGTACACTGCTCCTGACGGCACTGAAATCCACCTTACCTACGTGGCTGACGAGAACGGCTTCCAGCCTCAGGGTGACCACCTGCCAGTGGCTCCTGAGTTCCCTCACCCAATCCCTCAGTTCGTCCTCGACCAGATCGCAAAGGCCGCCGAGGAGGACCGCAACCGCGCCCGCAGTGACGACTCCGATGAAGTTTCCGTCCCATCCAGCCTCTACGGACGCCCTAACTAAATTTCATAAAGATGATATTTATTCTATTTATGATAGAAATAGAACTTTAAATGAATGCGTTGTATTGCTGACCTTATCTAAATAATGCATGTACTATCTTTGAACAAGTCTTACTGTCTCCGATGTACTGTAGCACACAATCAGAGTTACGTTTAGCTTACGGAAGTGTAAATGTTTGTAGGAACCTCTACCGTAGTATGTTTAGTATTTTAGCTCAGTAAACTAAAGGATTAATACACGATTTAAATTTTGGGACATTCCTGATGTACTAAAGTGACTTTCAAGTTAAAAAATTATAGCGTTTGGTGGGACATCAATTGCTGCTTTGACTGTTGACATGAATGCTAACAGTTAAAAGAAACAAAAATCTAGAACCATACGGTTAAAGTGTTTTCAAGTTTTTTTGTTTTTTTTAATGATCGTAGTTTTCTCATTTATAATTATATCTACAGAAGAAATTATCGGTGTGTCTAGAGTTATTGGCCAGACTGACTTCTTTAAAAAGTAAACACATCCACAGCAACGTCTGCGATAAATTTTCGTTTCCACGGTCGCCTTATAGGAAACTTATATTTGCTCTATTTCATGTCGAAATAGAATTTTTGCATTCATGCAATGTATTATTCGGTTTTCAGGGAACACATTTCAAATAATGTATTCACAGTATAAATATATGTGTGTGTGTGTGCATATATACACACATACATACAGTATTTATATATATTCAATATGTATATACATAAATATATATGTTTGTGTTATGCAAAATATATATATATATACATATATATATAATTATATATGTATGTGGGCCCCCCACACACATATGAGTGTGTGTGTGTGTCTGATACATATACAAGGTGACTCATTTGCAGAAAGAATAAACGTATGCAGAATATATATAGGAATATTTTTAGATAGATATACACATAAATATTATACATACATATGCCGTTGTACAATATATATACATATATATATAATTATATATGTATGTGGGCCCCCCACACACATATGAGTGTGTGTGTGTGTCTGATACATATACAAGGTGACTCATTTGCAGAAAGAATAAACGTATGCAGAATATATATAGGAATATTTTTAGATAGATATACACATAAATATTATACATACATATGCCGTTGTACAATATATATACATATATATATAATTATATATGTATGTGGGCCCCCCACACACATATGAGTGTGTGTGTGTGTCTGATACATATACAAGGTGACTCATTTGCAGAAAGAATAAACGTATGCAGAATATATATAGGAATATTTTTAGATAGATATACACATAAATATTATACATACATATGCCGTTGTACAATATATATACATATATATATAATTATATATGTATGTGGGCCCCCCACACACATATGAGTGTGTGTGTGTGTCTGATACATATACAAGGTGACTCATTTGCAGAAAGAATAAACGTATGCAGAATATATATAGGAATATTTTTAGATAGATATACACATAAATATTATACATACATATGCCGTTGTACAATATATATACATATATATATAATTATATATGTATGTGGGCCCCCCACACACATATGAGTGTGTGTGTGTGTCTGATACATATACAAGGTGACTCATTTGCAGAAAGAATAAACGTATGCAGAATATTACAGGTACACTGCTCCTGACGGCACTGAAATCCACATTACGTCGTGGGACCGAGAACGGCTTGCCAGCTAGGGTACCATCCTGCCAGGGCTCCTGAGTCCCTCACCCAATCCCTCAGTTCGTCCTCGACCAGATCGCAAAGGCCGCCGAGGAGGACCGCAACCGCGCCCGCAGTGACGACTCCGATGAAGTTTCCGTCCCATCCAGCCTCTACGGACGCCCTAACTAAATTTCATAAAGATGATATTTATTCTATTTATGATAGAAATAGAACTTTAAATGAATGCGTTGTATTGCTGACCTTATCTAAATAATGCATGTACTATCTTTGAACAAGTCTTACTGTCTCCGATGTACTGTAGCACACAATCAGAGTTACGTTTAGCTTACGGAAGTGTAAATGTTTGTAGGAACCTCTACCGTAGTATGTTTAGTATTTTAGCTCAGTAAACTAAAGGGTTAATACACGATTTAAATTTTGGGACATTCCTGATGTACTAAAGTGACTTTCAAGTTAAAAAATTATAGCGTTTGGTGGGACATCAATTGCTGCTTTGACTGTTGACATGAACGCTAACAGTTAAAAGAAACAGAAAAATCTAGAACCATACGGTTAAAGTGTTTTCAAGTTTTTTTGTTTTTTTTTAATGATCGTAGTTTTCTCATTTATAATTATATCTACAGAAGAAATTATCGGTGTGTCTAGAGTTATTGGCCA